TCCTTCAGAAGACAAGATGCTAGTCTGACCTTGTCCCCCTCGGGACATCTGCTGGTGCGGAACGCATTGGCGACATCCGCCAACCACCTGGTACTCGCAATGGGATCCCGTGCCCCATGGTAGTCTGGAGCTCCACAAGCCCGGAACTCCCTGAAGGTGAGTGTGCGCGACCCCATCATAGCCGCCACCTCAGCACGGAAAGTGCTCAACCTCTCGTCCATCAGCTCTAAAATACCCTCCTTGATCGAACCGAAGATCACAGGAGTCTGCTCAAGTATAGTGCGAGTAATCTCTGAAGAGAGAAACTCCCTAGTCTGCTCGTCCAACTGCCCGCCCTCCGGGCCTGATCCTGATCCCTCTCCGGCACCTGAACTGCCGACTGCTGGTCTAGGGCGTAAAACCACCATTCTGAAAACACATCATGAAAAACGTCAGAAACACTAATGTATCTCGAGGGATCGCTAATACTACCAGTTTCCTGGTCTCATCTCAACTTTCCTTGGTTCAAGTACGGATCCTCTGCTTTCAGTAATACGGGCCCATACTACCTTCCACATCTATCCGTACTTTCCTCAAGTACTGCCTCGACTCCACCAAGTCACTTCTACTGCTACTGATCTCTGCTACTCTCATCCTAGGCTTGCCGTAGGGAAATCTCTGACTCCACCCAATCCAGTCCTCAGCTGCTGAAGGCCTCCTTGTAATGCCAATTAGCCATTACCTGAATACCATCACATGTGGTGAGGCTCAGATAATCCTTCGAGTAAAAGACTCGTTCCTACAACGGTTAGACTCAAACAAGAGCTGCGCAATAGGGCCAAATCTAGCACTCTGAGATTATTCAACCCTGTTCACATGTGACGTGACGTATTCACCTAATGGCTAATTCCCATCACTCCGAGTCCCACCAAGCACGAAGCAAGCAGCATTCAGACACAGGAGACTACTCAAGCAATTCTATCCTCATAACAAGAAACTGTACTAGCATACAATGCTAAGCTCATACTATCAGGCATAACCTAAACATGCTATCCTACTGCTGTCTACTCAATACTAGCATGCAATTCTCATATAGCTGAAACACATATAGCAGGCACATAAGGCATCCTCCTAGATCCTTAGTCCTATTCTAGCATGCTGTTCTACTGAAACTGAAACTGATGATCATAACATAAACTTGTATGGGTAATTTGGGAGTACTTACTTGAGCTCGGTTGATCGCATGCACCACACCCTTTTCCTTTTCTCAAAACTCTTTTTCTTTTTAAGTTTCTTTTTCTAAAATCCTCTTGAAAACATTTTTCTTTTGAAAATCCTTTTTACCATTTCCTTAGTTTGAGTCCAGTCACACCCGAGAGTGTGCCTGAATCCCTCAAACCAAGGCTCTGATACCAACTTGAAACATCCCAAAAATACGACCCGAAAATTTTGTTTAAATATTACTAAAAATCATATCATCAAATATCATACATACTAAAACCATAAGATGTGTAACTCAAAAGTCAAGTAACTGTGTCAAAACAAATACTGTATCAATCATATCAAAATATCTGGATAAAACTCCCAGGATAAAACTGAAGTTGTGGTGTGTGCCATGCCATCATCCCGAGCTCTTCCCCTTACTTGCGGAATTACCTGACAACAAAACTGAAACTGTAAGCACAAAGCTTAATGAGATCCCCCAAACTACCACATACCATACAATAACATATAAGCAACTACTGGGCCTTGCCCACTGCATCGGACCGAGTCCGGAACTAACCAGGGCCTTGCCCTCTGCATCGGACCGAAGTCTGGAAATTGCATCGGACCGAAGTCCAGAACTAACCAGGGCCTTGCCCTCTGCATCGGACCGAAGTCCGGAAACTGCATCGGACCGAAGTCCGGAACTAACCAGGGCCTTGCCTCCTGCATCGGACCGAAGTCCGGAAACTGCATCGGACCGAAGTCCGGAACTAACCAGGGCCTTGCCCTCTGCATCGGACCGAAGTCCGGAACTGACCAGGGCCTTGCCCTTTGCATCGGACCGAAGTCCGGAATCTGACTGAACATAGCATAGCATAATCATAACTACTAACATAGCACATATACTGCATACTGCATCGGACTGAAGTCCGGAACACATAACAAAAATACATGCTTGAATCACAGAGACATCAAGCACACTAAACTACTGCATCGGACCGAAGTCTGGAACTACTGCTAACTAAACGGGCCGGCATTGTGGCCGTAGACCCGTTCCTACTGGAAGGAAACTCACCTCGTAACGCTGGCTGTCGAGATGCTAAATCTGAAACTGCCTGACCGCTGCTCCGGCACTCCCCGGCTACAATTCCATAAACACTGAATCAAACACTGACATCTAATCTCAGGGTAAAATGACTATTTCACCCTTGGTCAAAGTCAACTTCCTGTTTGACCGGACTCGCCGAGTCAGGGCACAGACTCGCCGAGTCCCTTCTTTACTAACACTAACTTTAACTCACCGAGTCCCTTTCCCACTCACTGATTCACCCTGAACTCACAAATCGAATAAAAACGGGGACTCGCGACTCGACTCGTCGAGTCCAAGAACAACTCGCCGAGTTCTGTCGTGCAGATTCCATACTGTTGAATTCTAAACCATTCCAGAGCATCTAACTTGTAGATCTGAGCCCCTGGAACCATCTGAACACGTAAAGTTGCTAACTTCACGTGTATCTAATAAGGAATGAGGCTATTTCACTCAAACACTACTTTTCTCGGGGGAAAACTCATTCGACTCGCCGAGTTGATGAACAACTCGTCGAGTCTGAGGCAATCTTCATCGGACTCGCCGAGTTGCTCATCCAACTCGTCGAGTCCACGGCTATCTTCATATGACTCGCTGAGTCAAGCATGGACTCGTCGAGTCTTTTCAGTCCCTTTTCCCTAGAGACCTGATTTGAGCCATGCAGCGGCTCCAAATCACAGATCCAAGTTCCTAGGGCATGCTTATCACGTAAAGTTGCAAACTTTACGTGCATGCATAGCTTAAAGGCTTCAAATGTCCAAAACTAATCTCTTAATGGGATTCTAAGCTCAAAAGGGACATCAATCACAAACATGACTGAAACTTTACACTTCTAGAATGCAATGAGGGTCCAGATCTGAAGTTTCCATCCAAGGGGAGTCCATATCCCAAGCTTTGAATCATAAAAGGCTCCAAAGAAGGCATAACAAGCATAAAGAGGGTTTAATGGAGGAATAAGCAAGGTAATAACTTTATTACCAGAATATAAAGCTGATGAGGGCTAGTTCTTGGATCTCCTTCCTCTCCTTTGCACCTTCTCTCTTTCCTTCACTTCTACCCTTCCAAGAATACACCAAAACACTCACAATCAAGAAGGAAGCACTCAAACTCACCAATGGAGGCTAGGGTTTTGAGGTGGAATGCTCTAAGGGTGCTGGAGGCTGGGATGGGGGCTATAAGGACGTTTAAATAGGGTGCAAACCCTAAGGGTTAGGGTTTCCTCCAGACTGGCCTACTCGTCGAGTCCAGGCGCGGACTCGGCGAGTAGATCACTTAAAATCCGCGTGCATCCTGGCATCTACTCGACGAGTTAGGGCTACTACTCGCCGAGTAGCTCTTCATAAAAGACATTTAAATAAATTAAATACGTACCAGGAACGGGGCGTTACATCTTATTAGTTGGATCTCATGATTATGGAAGTTAGGGCTTTTTCTACTTTTTGTTGGTGCAATAAGTGCATGGAGTCTATTAGGAGGCCTAGACTTCAAATCTGGACTTTGTGAGGTCCAGAGAGTCCAAAGATTATAGCTTTATTCAACCATATAAGAGTTATTGTGGTTAAACATCTTTGTTAGATTTGTATTGGCATTTAGAGCATCATATGCCATGCATGGACGTAAAGCTCATGACTTTATGTGATAATCGAGCCCTGAGAACGTAGATCTAGAGTTTGGGAAGGTTTTCTGCCTTGAAATAATCTGAATGAGAAATGAGTTTGAATGGACTCGCCGAGTCGATGAGCCGACTCGACGAGTCAATTAGGGTTTGTCCCGATGAGCTTGATCATGTGATAGCTCGGTGAGTTGGGGGTCAACTCGGCGAGCTAAGCTGGACCTTCACAAGGCTTCCAAGGAAACGAGTGGACTCGACGAGTCAAATAGGTTCACTCGGCGAGTCGGGTCAAACATGGACTGTTGACTCGAGATGACTTCTGTTGACTTTAGGGTTTGGTCAAACATGAGTAATGGAGACCATGGAGGGGTAAAATGGTCTTTTACCCACTTCAAGAGTTAGAAATAGGAAGAATAACCTTTGGTTTATTTAGAGTCGATAATCGAGTATTTATTGAGATAACTACCCTATGTGTTAGGCGGTGGCTAGTTCGAGATTCGAGTTCGAGGATGATTGCTTGTTGTCGAGGTGAGTCTTCTCACTATACTTTACCTAGAGTGGTATCTACGTGTGACCAAAGGGTCTTATGTGTTTATTTGAGTACTGTGATATTACTGCGTTATGCCTGTGTGATTTATGTTATGTGTTCTTCAGAGTTTACAGAGTTAGGACCGGAGGGTCCACAGAGTGAGGACCGGAGGGTCCACAGAGTTAGGACAGGAGGGCCCATCAGAGTTGTGAGACTGGAGGGTCCCACTGAGACACATTGACCAGAGGGTCTTACAGAGTTATAGCCTCGAGTGGCTAATGTGTTGCATGTGGCATTTTGGGGAACTCACTAAGCTTCCTGCTTGCCGTGTTATGTGTTATGTGTTTCAGGTTTTCTCAGGATCGCGGGAAGGGACCGGCTTGATTGTACACACCAGCGAAAGAGTTATGTTTTGAGGATCCTGGATTTTAATTAAATAATTATGGAGTTGCGAGTTGTAAATTAAATAAATGGGACTTTTGTGAAATGTGTTAGAAGAATTATGTGATTTTAAATGAAAATTTGTTTGAGAATTTTCGGTGTTACAGATACATTATATAAATTATAAAAATAGTAAAATATCGGCAATGGAGACAGTGGTGGTGGTCGTGGTGTCGGTGGTGGCGGTGGTAGTGGTGGTGGGTGATGACAGTGGTGGTGGTGGCGGTGATAGTGATGGTGGTGGCGGCGGCAACAACATAGCGGTGGTGGGCAATGGTGGTGGTGGAGGTGTCGGCGGTGGTGGTAGTGGTGGTGGTGGCGGCGGTAGCGATGGTGGCGACGGTAGTGGTGGTGGTGGTGGTAGTGGTGGTGGTGGCGGTAATAGTGGTGGTGGCGGTGGGTGGTGGCGGTGGTAGTGGTAGTGGTGGTGGGTGATGGTGGTGACGATGGTGGTCGCGGTAGCGACAGTACTAGTGGTGGGGGTGGGTGGTGGTGACGATGGTGGTGGTAGTGGTTGTGGGTGGTGACATCGGCGACAGTGGTCGTGGTGATGGTGGTGGTGGCGGCGGCAGTGATGGTGGTGGTGTTAGTGGCGGTTAGTAGTCAATAGTAGTAATGGTGGGTATTGTTTTTCCCCCGAATTCTATTCTTATCCTGCCAACCAAACGCGTCTTAGAGAAAATAATTGCAATAACTAATCACCCAAAGTTTTTTTTTTTTCAAAAAATAGCTTAAAATACCAAAAATAGACATGATTTTCGCCGGTGGCCACTTACGAAAATCATGTTTTTTTCGTTAAATTTGAACATTCATAACTCTTTAATATGAATCTCATTCAAGGTTTTTTTATTTTTTTATTTTTTTTCAATTAAGGATATGGATTGACATGTTACACTTCAAATTTGGATGTGGCCAAGTTATATATTTTTAGCTCCAATGTATGTTAATCGGTAAAAAAATATTAAAAATGACCCAAATTTAACCATTAATAACTCTTTTAGTTTGAGTTGATTTTTTTTCTTATTATGTTCTTTATAACAAAGGCTGTTTATGGACATATCAAACTACCAATTTGAATGTGGGAAATTCATATATTTTTTAGCTTTAAAATACATATTTGGTGAAATTTCATAACAATAATCAGATAATTTGACTTTTTCAAATCATAAGGTAACCTACAAAAAGCTCTAAAAAAATTCTAAACACCTAGATTTTTCATAGAAGCTGATTACGAAAATCTAAAAAAACAAAGAAAATTACAGATATGTACGGGGGTGTTTGACTTAGCTTTTGAGAGGCCAAAAGTCATTTTAGGAAAAGATCAAAGGTAAAAAATGTTTGACAAAAGATTTTTAAAAACTACTTTTGGATTTTGGATAGAAGGAAAATCAACTTTTTGGAAAAGTCAGGAAAACTGACTTTCTGCGACTTTTTCAAAAAAGACTTTTGGACTTTAAAAAGCTAAGCCAAACACCCCTATAGATTTTAAAAGTTCACAAAGATTTAAAATTTAAAAAGACAGAAAATTACAGCTATGTAGATTTTTAAAGTTCACAAAAATTTTCGCAGTATCTAAAAAAAATTACAACCAAACTGGATATTAACAGATGTTGAGCAACGTAAATTATTTGGAGATTTAAAAAAAAAAAAAAAATTCTTTTTGGCTATTTTTTAAGATAAACCATGGTTTGATTATATTTTTTCAAATTATAATGTTAAATGCATGATGCAATACAATTGATTATGAAACCCACGAATTAGGAAGCAAGAGTCAACTATTGTTCCTTTCCATTGGTCTCCATCGACCCCAGTTATTTCCCATTACTGAATTAAAATTATCTTTGACTCACCAACAACAAGAACACCCAAATCACTCTAACCATTTTTTCTCTTTCTCTACTGTTTTCTCATGCCATGATTCTTAGAGGGAGAGAGAGAGAGAGAATGATAACGGTGATCCAGAGAGCAGTTAAACCGAACACAATCTACTAACTTAGTATGGTTTCCGTCTTTCTTCAGTTAAACCCTGAAGAAAGAAAAATTCAGTTTTCATTTCTTTGAATACTCAAACGGGAAACGACAATGTTGGTCCGTATTTGAAACGCAATCGAAGATCGGTTGTGGCAATTCAAGATCCCAACATTGCAATTATCAAGGTACGTTCGATTTTTTGCTCAATTTCTTGTTCTGGCATTTGAATTTCGTTAGGGTTTTTAGTTGTAATCTTTATTTTATACATCCAGTTTCCTCTTCTTCTTCTTCATACGATTATGTCAATTCTCGCTTTACAACTGACTGATTTAGCATTTCAATACGGAGAATCGGATCCGTTTAACTTCCGAATTTCAATTCCCTTGCCTTTTTTAGTTTGTGTTTGGTGAAACAGTCCACTTACGAGTTTAATTAGTAAAAATCGGTAACATCAATTCGTTATACGACTTAATAATTCGCTAAATGGATGTGAAACTTTACAGTTAATTGATACCCTGATATGATCATATGAAGAACCAGAAGATTTGAACGATGAAATCCAACACGCCTCTTGATTATGCAGCATTCCATCTCTCACCAAAACGATCAAAGTAAGCTCTTTATTTACTTATTTCATTTCAATTGGTAGCTCTAAATCCTCATTCACTTACTTTTTTTCGTTTACTTTTTCATATAGATGTGAACTATATGTGTCTAGTGGTGGAAAAACTGAAAGGATTGCATCAGGTTTAGTGAAGCCATTTGTGACTCACTTGAAGGTCGCTGAAGAACAAGTTGCATTGTCATTTCAATCTATAAAACTTGAAGTTGATAATCAAAAAAAGTTTGAAACATGGTTCACAAAAGGAACATTGGAGAGATTTGTACGTTTTGTTAGTACACCCGAGGTTTTTGAACTAGTGAGCACCATTGATGCTGAAATGTCTCAACTTGAAGCTGCCCGCAAAATATATTCACAGGTATGTAATTCTTTTGTATGCGAAGAGGGAATGGAATTGAGCATTACACCGGAATGGAATGTGATTCCTGACGTTCTTTTTCTTATTGTAAGTTTTCGTAAATAATTGCAGGGATCATCAAGCTTAGGAACAGGGGCGGATGCAACAAAGTGAACAACTCTCTTCCTTCACTTTTTTTTTTTTAAATTGAAAAATAATTTGCATTTCTTAATATTGTTTTATTATAGGAAAGAACTTTTAAGGGCAATTGATGTAAGGCTGGCGACTGTGAAGCAGGATTTGGCTATGGCTTGTGGGCGGGCAGGGGCAGCTGGGTTTGACCATAAATCAGTAGTTGACCTTCAATTGTTTGCAGAGAGGTTTGGTGCCACTCGTTTAAAGTAAGAACTCTTCACATTCCATTGCTTCTGGAATGTTGTTAGATACTTGCTCTGATACCATGTTAGATACATGGGATCCTCTAATTTTTTTTTCAAAAAAGCAGAGAAGAGACTCTGACATATATATATATATATATATATATATATATATATATATATATATATATATATATATATATATATATATATATATATGGATCAAACTGTGTCAATGTGTCAAAGATACATATGTGAGACTTAACCACTCACATTTTTAAATTTTATAATTTAAGTAATTGTTAATATTATAAATGAGTAACTAACTATTTCTTTTTTTTATAACACGTCATTATTTAAAACAAAAGGTAATATAAGAAGGTAAGTAAGTGGAACGTTTTGTTTATTAATATATTATGAACAAAACGTTCTAACTGATAGTATTTTTCTTTAGAACAATAAAATTTTTTAACATATCAAATGGTTAAACAACCAACTTATAAGTTCAAAAATAAGGTTTGTATTTTTGGGAGATGGGTGGGTGGCAATAAAGTCTAACTTTAAGCTATTGAATTCATTAATCATATTTTAAGGGCATTGCTACTTTCGCATTTCTTGCTCTAGATGCTACAACACTTAGCTTTTTTGGGTATACGCTACAAGGTTTTCTTTTTGGAATTTTTTGAGTTAAGATGATCTATTTGCTAGTTATTATTGTAATTAAATTTGGGTTGATATTATTGTAATTAAATGTTTAACATATGATCAATTTTATCAACCTTTATCATCAAACATCACATTTTTTGTGATAAACAACTTTTGTTTAGTTAATTTTTCTCACTTTAATCTAATCGAAATATTTATTTAGATTTATTGTACTAAAGTAAACCTGTAAAGATAATTAGCTCAAAATATTTGAAAAATGATACTTCCCCAAAAAGGGTAAAATTTCCATATTGGGCTGCCTACGAAATGCATAATTTTTTTCAAAGTTCTTACCTTTTTAATCCTATTTTTGTTTTTGTTCGTTAATGACTACGATTTTAAATTAATAACTCTAGTTTTGAGCTGGATTAATTTATTCTTATTAATAATTATTAAATTAATAAATATTTCAGTGTAATTTTTGTTTATAAGAACCGTGAACCGGGGCATCGGATCCTTAGCTGGTGAAAACACTGGTGGGCCGTGGACCGGCCACGTGCATTATGTATGTTTCTGCATTCCGCCCCTCACGGATCATTTGTCTTCAAACCGGTTCAATATTTTATTTCATTTTAATAAGATTAATCAAGGCAATTTTTAGTTTTTGGATCTTAAAATCAGTTATAGGTTGTATATTTTGTCAATAACAGTCAATATCTTACCAATAAACATTTAATAAAGATTACAGAAACTTGTATTCATTTTAAATTGCTTGCTTTGTAATATTTTTAATGTATAATCAATCATATGAGTTCTCATTTTCCCTTAAAAGAAAATATTGTTGTACCATTTTGTCGTTAAAGTGTACATCGATTTCATATTAAAAAAATGTGACATAACATAATGAGGAAAGATTCTTCTTTGCGTTTGTTGTTTATCATTTCTTTTTCTTGAAAGCAAATTTTTAACACTCCTTCATTAGCAATTTGGTACTCATTCCTTTTCAAAAAATATTCTTTTTTATTCTTGACGCTTGAAAAGGTTGAAATTTCTCTTTTTTATCCTTAAATTATAACTAAATACAAATAAAATTCAAAACAACCAAGTCCTTTTTTCTATAGTATATTCAATAATTTTGCCTTTTACCTTTTTATTAAAAAATTCTAGCTATTTCAACTTTTTACAATATTTATTTTAATAAAAAATATTTAAAGAAAAAAAAAAAAAAAACACATCACACGTAGAACTGGAAATTTTTCTGACAGCTACTTGCAGTTGCAGTGTTTTTTTCAATTCTTTTCGTCGTGAGGTTTAAATTTTTTCCAAATTTGATGCAGCGAAGCTTGTTCTCAATACATTTCACTCTACGACAGAAGGCCGGAGTTGTTCAACAATCCATCATGGAAATCCGACGTCGGAGATCAAGCAATCCGGTCATCTTACACCTCCGACGACATGTCTCTCGAAGATGATCCACCAACCACCACCGCTGAACAACCTTCATCAACCACTCCCCAGCCACCCAAATTCCTCTCCTCCTCCGCCAGCTTTCCTTTAAGAAGTGGTGGCGCTCAGAAAACTCAGGAACCCAGTGTCCATGCAGAGTATGACTCTGATTTTGTGAAAGCGGAAGAGGGTGGTGGCGCATCGGTACCTGTGCAGAGTCAGACAGCCACTCAGACGACGTCGTCTTCCAGGCGGCTCAGCGTACAAGACCGTATTAACCTTTTCGAGAGCAAACAGAAAGAGGTGGGTTCGGGTTCGGGTTCCGGTTCCGCCGCCGGAAGTGGCGTTTGCATCAAACCGGAGCTTCGTCGGCTCTCTTCTGACGTTTCACATTCTTCATCTTCTCCTTCGCCTGTTTTGAAAAGATGGAGTGGCGACAACGAGAAGAAGGAAAAGGAAGATTATAAAGATACACCGACTTCCATTAAAACTGAGGTCCCAAAAGATCAAACAAATTCAATCATCGTACAGTTGACCTTTTCTTCTTCGGTCAAATCTGAAGAATCCTTGGGGTCAACATCAAATCAGCCGACTTCCACTTTGGAAAAAACTCCGTCGTGGACATCATTAACCAAATCCGACGATGATGATTCCTTGACTAATTCCCAAATCAATTCCTTTCATGAACGATTTCACAAATCCGATCTAACAAATAAACCCAATCCTTCATCTGAGATACATTCAGGAACGATGATGTTAAGTACTCATCCGAAGAAGACGCCATTAGATTCAGGATACAATACACCGCCACCTTCTGGTAAATATTTCCATGGGGGATCGGGATCTGGATCGAGAAACATGAAAGGGAATCAAGAACTCAACGACGAACTTAAATTGAAAGCAAATGAACTCGAAAAGCTTTTTGCAGAGCATAAGCTTAGAGTTCCCGGAGATCAAACTAACGCTAATAATCGTCAAATCAGAAAGCAGGTCGCCGCAGATCCTGTTCCTAGTCCTAATCCTACCCCTGAACCGCAATTAAGATCGGAAACGGAATCCCCAACTCCAATTCCGATTCCAGTGACAGAAGTTGAAATTCCTGATGATTCTAGAGGAAAGCTATACGATAGTTACATGAAGAAAAGAGACGCAAGACTAAAGGAATCATGGGATTCTAAAGAAGCTAAAATGAAAGCCATGCATGATACGCTAGAACGTAATAATACCGAAATGAAAGCAAAACTTTCATGGTCTTCAGATAGACAGAATTCAAGCGCTCAAAAACGTGCAGAACGGGTCAGATCATTTAACGCACCTTCATCTTCAAAAAGAGACGAGGTATCAATATATCGTCATCATCTTTACTCTCCTTATAAATTATAATATGATCTTCTTATATTGTTTATACTTTATAAAACCTTAATGGCAGCCACTAGATTTCGGGCAACAAAGTAATAAAAAACCATTACCAGCTTCAATTCCAAGATCAGGCACCAAATTGGGGTCGAGTTCTGGGAGAAGAAGGGGACAAAGTGATAATGTTGTTGCACAATCTGTCCCTAATTTTTCTGATTTAAGGAAAGAAAATACAAAGCCTTATTATTCTGGAAAAGTGGGAGGTCGATCTCAGATGAGAAACTATACACGTAGCAGAAGTGGCAGTGCCAATGAGGAGACGCCACCTGTCAAACAAGAGAAACCAAAGCGGTTTCTGAGAAAGAACACGGGTATAGGACCTGGTTCGGGAAGTGTTGCTGCTAAAATGAAAGCTTCAATGGTGGTGTCTCAATCTATGAATGAAGAGGTAAATGTGATTGAAACAGTTGATGATGAAGATGAAGATGAAGAGTTTGATGATAATACAATGCAAGAAAAAGAAGAAGAAATTGAGTCAAGAATGAGTATTGAATCCGAAACATTGATTAATTCAGAATCAGAAATCCAAAACGAAAATGAAAGCATTTCAAAAATAGAAAACATTTCTGATATAATACCAGCTGCTGCTACAGTGAGTCCTCCAGATGAAAGCCCAGTGTCATGGAATTCTCGTTCCAATTACCCGTTTTCTGATGTGGATTATTCGCCTATGAGTATGAGGAGTCCAGGGTTTAATTCAAATGAAACAACAGCTGACGTGGCAAGAATGAGGAAAAAATGGGGGATTGCTCAAAAACCTAGTCTTCTTGTTGTTCCCAATTCATCCGGATCTAATAAAAAGGATATGACCAAAGGATTTAAACGGTTGTTGAAATTTGGAAGGAAAAGTCAAAGTCAAAATCGGTATAATGAAAGTTTGCCTGATTATATCTCTGCTACAACTTCTGAGGGAGATGATGACATTGAAGATGGAAGAGATCTTGCAAATCGATCTTCAGATGATTTGAGGAAATCGAGAATGGGATATGAACATGATTTGACCGATTATTATGCTGATCAAGGTAACCTACTTTTTTTTTAATTTAAAAATAAATAAATTAAATGACATTTTTTTTCTTCGAAAATTCAGTGCATACATTGCAGAGTTCGATCCCAGCACCTCCGGCAAACTTCCGGTTGAGGGAGGATCATCTGTCTGGAAGCTCCATTAAAGGTACTTTTTTTTATGGGTCTTTTTAGTGAAGATTATATAAATAAAAGTAATTTATAATTATTAATATGTCATTCCATTTTTTTTTATTAATAATCTTAAAGAAACCATTTTTTTGGTGAAATTCAACAGCTCCTCGATCATTCTTTTCTTTGTCAACATTCCGAAGCAAGGGAAGCGAATCAAAACCAAGATGAGTTGGTGGTATGATTTATGAAGGTATAAAACATTTGATCGTATTCATAGGTACATATATATATATATATATATATATATATATATATATATATATATATATATATATATATATAATATATATATATATATATAACATATAAAAATACAAAAAGGTTGATGGAGTTCATCATTTATATAAAAGATCTACATCATCATTATTATGTATATCTTGGTGGATTTGAATGGGATTTTGTGGCGTATTCTATTTGATGAGCAAGAAGAAATCCAAAATTGGTGGAATTTTGTTGATATGGATATTCTTCGTTTGCACAAGTATCATTGCGTGTTGGAATTTTGTTAGCTTCTTTGTTTTCGAGTCATAATCATGATTGGAAAGATGAATCTTTGTTCGGTTTAGTAAAACAAATGGCTACAATACAAATACAATATATATAATCATCTTTGTTTCAATCCGTTGGATTTGGTACTTTAAAGTGTTGGATATCTTGAGTATAATTCTATATACAATTATTATTATGTATAGCTAATTTTAAATGATGTCTAACAAATTTAAATGAGATATAAAAATAATCTTAAAACTAAAGTTAATACATTTTCAAGATTAAAGTAATATAGGTCGCATTTTATTTTTAATTTCGTATTTATTATACATATTGATTTCATATCAAAATTACAATTATTTTAAAAAAGCAAAAAAAGTTTTATTAAGATACGTTGAGATGTTGAAGAGATAACATCCAAAAAAATTGTCCATCTCTAGAAAACGCAGTGTCCATTTTAGAATATTTTTTCTTCCAAATATTTGTAATTGCTTTCGGACTTCAAAATTAGAGAAAAATAAAACTTTGATTAATCATTTTAATTGTTGACTAATATTTAAAACAAAAAAATCAAGTATTTGGTGTGCTGCAAAACATGTTTGGACTTAGGGCCGGTCTTAAAAAATTAAATATATTTAAAGGCTTAGGACAACCAAGAAAAAAATAGGTCATTATTGTTATTTAAAGTTTTTATTTTTAAATAATATATATATATATATATATATATATATATATATAATAAAAAAAATTAGGTTATGTGTAACTGTCCGCTTTACCCCTCAACATATCCTTCATGTTTGGATTCTTTTGGAGAGCATTTAGTTCATTGTAAAGAACTCTCGGGGTTCAAATACATGCACGATATGGATAAGGATGTTTTGTTTGACATATTTAAGTGTCGGGGTTTCCTTCAAGAAAGAGGTACCTGTGAATTTTTTGATTGACCCAGCAAAAGGAACGACAACTCTTAGACTCTTAGACTGGTTGACGTTTTGATTTTTAGATTGGTTGGAAGGAAACACACATGTGTGGACCTTACAAGGGTATCCCCTCTCGTGGGTTTGAGGGTTGGGGTTTCACGTCGGGATAGATTGTTTTAGAGTAAATTACACGAATGGTCCCTATGGTTTAGGGTAATTTGCGCGTTTGGTCCCTAACTTAATTTTTTAACTCGGAAGGTCCTTACTGTTTGTTTTTGTTACGCGCTTGATCCATGTCTTACGTAAAAAGACTATTTTTCCCTTGACTTTTTAATCTATTTAAATAAACACACCCCAACCCCACCCCATTCAACTTACCTTACCTACCCCACCATTTTTTCCTATTTAAATAATAATCATTTTAGGTAAGTCAGGGACCACACGCGTAACAAAAACAAAGAATAGGGACCAAGCACGTAACAAAAACAAACAGTATGGACTTTCCGAGTTAAAAAAGTAAGTTAGGGACCAAACGCGCAAATTACTCCAAACCATAGGGACCATTCGTGTAATTTACTCATTGTTTTAAAAGCTGCTATATGCAAGATCACCAAACTTGAAAAATGTTGAATGGAAAATCAATACATGTTTATACCATTTGTATTTGATACGTTTGGTTTCCTCGCACCAAATGCATTGAAGCTTCTTAATAAAGTACAACGGATCATGCATAACAATATTATATCCCCTAGATATATGGATGTAGTATTCAAAAGAAATGACTTAAGAGCACAACTTATTGTTCGTTGTCTTATCAGTCGTACGATGATAACTAAGTTATAATCAACTAATATTGAAATAGGCATAGCCATTTTCAAAAGTATTTGGCTTAGATTAACAATCAAATTTGCAGGCTCACATGTAAATCCCAAAATCCTCACATCAAAAGGATATTTATTTATTTATTTTTTAATTTTTTTAAGAGGTCGTTGCGAAATAAAGGATCCATAATTTTTACATGTAAAAATCTTAATTCTTATATTTTGACTTTATTAGAGGTTTGTAACACCCCAATTCCAGGTATGGATTTAAATAAAAGGCTATGTGGTTTTAAGTCCTACTCGACGAGTTAGTTGCCCTACTCGTCGAGTAGCAGCGGGCTTGATACGCGTGTTTAGTGACCTACTCGCCGAGTCCACTAAGGGACTCGACGAGTAGGAGATGGTAGATGAAACCCTGAATCCCGGGGTTTTGCACCCTATTTAAGGAATTGATAAGCCTCCTTTGGCCTCTTCGCAGTCCATTGAGAGTCCAGAAGAACCCTAATTTGAGTGTGTGTGTATTCTTTGGAAGTTTAAGCTTGGAGGAAGATCTTTGGTGAGGAAATCTCTTGGGAAGCAAGCTAGTTGAAGAAAGAGCTTGTGGGTTACAAGTTCTGCATCAGAAAGGGGCACTATTGAAGGTATTAAATCGTGTTCCCTTGGCTCATTCTCTTCTTACCCCTTTTTGTGCATAAGTTTAGAAAAGGATTCTTGTGTTTAAGCCAAGATCTGAAGTTGTAACTTCAGATCTGGACTCCCCTTGGCTTCTGGATTCATAAAGCCATCAGCTTTGTCTAGTATGAGCCTTCTCTCAAGGATGTGACTTCATTGCAAGCTTAGTTGTGCCATTTTAGGGTCTTAAAGCCTTGCATGCACGTAAAGTTTGCAACTTTACATGATATGCATGCCTAGGGAAGTTGGATCTGCAATTTGGGGCCTTGGCATGGCTCAGAAAGTGTCTGCATGGTTAAAGGGCTGAAGAGACTCGGCGAGTCGCATCGTCGACTCGGCGAGTCATATGAAGATAGGCAGTGAACTCGACGAGTTGGATGAACAACTCGGCGAGTCCGATGAAGATTGCCTTGGGCTCGACGAGTTGGATGAACAACTCGGCGAGTCAGATGAGTTTTCCCCAAGTTATGAATGTGTGTGTAGCCGTCGTGTGCAAGAAGGAAACTCGACGGGTGGCCTTAGGGTTGGATCGAAAATCGGAGGAACTCGACGAGTCACCTCGATGACTCGGCGAGTTGCAAAGTGCTTTAAGGAACTCGGCGAGTAGCCGAGGATACTCGACGAGTCAAGGTCAACATTGACTGTTGACCTTGACTGAGGACCTTGACCTTGACCAGGGGTTGACTAGTGGGTTATGGAGTACCTTATAAGGTTAAGGATTTATGAGTATATTGTGCTATGGTATTAGGTGGTGGAGCCTGTGTCAAGTGATTCGATAGTGGGGATTTATCTACCGAGTCGACATTTGGAAGGTGAGTTATCCTCACTATATCGATAGGGTCTAAGGCACCAAGGCCGGCCCTTTATAGTTGTTATTGTGATGGTATGCTACATGTGGATATGATCTGTTAGATCGGAATCAGGATAGACAGTATGTTATGTTCGTATGATTCGTAGGGATTAATATGTCAGTGACCTGCTAGGTCAGTGCTATAGTGTTGAATGATTGCTTTGCTTGGTGATCAGTGAGATAGATATGTTTGATGATTGTATATGCCAGTATATGTTAGTTATGCGTACATGATTATTTGTTTGATGCCTGGGTTGAGGTGGTCCTGCTCTGTGCTGAAGGCCAACACACCCTATGAGCGGTCCGGGGAGATTGTACTCCCATGTGGTGGTCCAGTCATGCCGAAGGCTCGGTGTAGATTCAGTGGGACTGTACGCCCGGTAGGGCGGTCCAGTCAGGCCGATGGCCCAGTATGCATGTTGATTGATTGATTATTATGGATATGGTATTATCAGTGTGGTATTAGTATTTTGGGGGTAGCTCACTAAGCCCTCGGGCTTACAGTTTTCAGTTTATTGTTTCAGGTACTTCAGGAGTTCATGGCAAGGCGAAGGCGTGACCGTACCGCTCCTCATCCTTATGATCTGTTTTGGGACACTCTGATGGAAAAAAGATTTGAAAATGTTTTGTAAACAATTACTATTTGGTTTTTATTATGGATTGAAAAGTTTAAATTTGGCATGAAATTTATGGATGTTACAAGTTGGTATCAGAGCCTTGGTTTGAGTGCATTGGGGGAACACTCGTGTGAACCCAGTCTCAAATCAAGGAGGTTTTCGGAAAGTAAGATTTTTAAAATGGTTTTCAAAATAAAGGATGGAGGATGCAGAGGGTACGACCAGCCGGAGCCTGTAAGCAAACCCCAAAATACCATACAGTTATTTGATATTTTGATATGTTAGAACAACATGCTAGTGCTAGGCTAGGGGTCTTCAGGAATCGCATGTTAGATTTGCCTGATTATATGATGCCTATTAGCCTAGGGTTTCTTGTATATGGAATTGACATCATAACTGTAGATGTTTAGTGTATGCATCACGGTTGTGCATAATAAAGACCTCATAGCCTGAGAATGTTGATTCAGCCCTCGGGTAGGATCGGACATTCGAAAGTCTATTGGGTCCAGCGTTATGTGCAACAAGTATACACTAGCGCTGCAGGGGATGGTGAAAGTTTCATGGATGTGTGTGCTGTGAGAAGTGGTAAGACCAGTTGCGAGATAGTTGATATTCCTCTAGGGGTGAGGGTTGAGCGTATTTTATGTTGATGCTAGTGTTAGGGTGTTGTGGTGATACTTGAGACAAATATGGGTAGGTGTGGAAGGTAGTATGGGCCCGTACTACTGAAAGCACAGGACCCATACGCGTAGCAAGGAAGTCACAACCCCTAGGGTTTGTGGATTTGGTCTCCCGATATTATGTTATTTATCTGATGATTTGGGGTATATCTTTCAGTATGGTGGTGACGAGACATTTTGCTGGGCCCAGATCAGGATCAGGGTCCGGATCGGGGTCAGGGTCGGGAGACGGAGGGCCGGAGGTGTCGGTAGCACCTGAGCCTGTGGTACAGATAGGGACAGAGGAGTTGGATGCCAGGATCGGGGAGATTATGCATGATGAGATTGCTGCAGCGTTTCGAGCGCAGCTGCCAGAGATGTTTGGGTCGATTAAGACCGCGATGGTCGAGTACTTTAATGAGCGATATGCAGCTCTAGCAGAGACAGCTGTCGCTGCAGCCACTGTGGCTGTAACTGCGGCAGGGGTTGGAGGAGGAGCCAACAGGGCTTTCCAGTATCGGGACTTCGATAATACGAAGCCTCCGACGTTTGATGGTACTCAGGATGCGATCAGAGCTATGAGGTGGTTATCTGACATGGAGGGATGTTTCTTCACGTGTTCATGTCCTGCTGACCAGAAGGTCAGGTGTGCCCTAAACCTGCTGAGGCTTGGGGAAAAGGACTGGTGGAGATTGACGACAGGGTCGTACACGGATGATCAACGAGCTGCTGTTACTTGGGAGCAGTTCCGGGATATGTTCCGCACCCGCTACGTTCCACGTGTTGAGCGGGAGCGGCTTGCTCAGGAGTTTTTGACATTGAGACAGGACAAGGAGTTAGTGATGGAGATTACTCGTATGTTCACGGAGAGGGCTATGTTTTGCCCGGAGTTTGCTTCAGAGCAGTCTCAGATGGCTCGTTATCTGAGTATGCTCAAGACTGATATTCGACAGTTTGTGTCTACACAGCGATGTGATACCCTCCTGGATCTACAGGAAGCCGCGAGGCGGCGTGAGTTGGAGATAGAGCTGCAGTTGAGGGAGCAGCGTCAGGCACGGGCACAGTCTCGGCCGGCGCCTAAGCGGTCTAAGACCGCTGATACTCGGACTGGGGGTCAGCAAAGCCGCACTTGTGGAAAGTGTGGCAGGGGACATTCGGGGGTTTGTCGAGCAGGAGGTGGGTGCCACAAATGTGGCAAGGAGGGGCACTATGCCAGGGACTGTCGTCAGTCCGCCCCTCCATCAGATATGAGGATTTGTTACCATTGTCATCAGGTTGGTCATGTGAAGACCAACTGTCCGCAGCTCGCCGCGAAGCCGGCGCAGGGTCCCGCGTCAGCTGCTGTGAGGATTGGAGATGGGAGGCCAGTTAAGGTGGAGCCTCCGAAGGCTCAGGGTCGCGCCTTCAGCTCACGGCCGAGGAGGCCAAGGCAGCACCGGATGTGGTTGCTGGTATGTTTCTTTTTCTCTGTCTCAGTTATTGTTCTTGTATTGTGCTTATTGGTTGTACCTGTGATTAGGTACGTTTTTAGTGAACTCTTTGCCTGCTTTGGTTTTATTTGACTCGGGGGCGAGTCGGTCGTTCGTATCTCAGACTTTCAGTAGAGGGTTTAGTGTGCCGGTAGATGAGCTTGAGTGTCCGTTGCGAGTTTCGATCGCCAACGAACACGGGGTTTCTGCTTCTTCGGTCTACCGGGGATGCGAGTTGGAGATTTTCGGGGTGCCCTTCCCAATAGATTTGATTCCTATTCCCATGGGGGAAGTGTGCGTGATCGTAGGGATGGATTGCCTCAGTCGATTTGGCGCCATGATCGACTGTGAGGGGCAGCGAGTGGTAGTTCGAACCCCAAGTGGGGGAGAACTGGTGGTATATGGCGAGGGCACCAGGATGGGATCAGGGTTTTGTTCGGCGGCCAGGGCTCGACAGTATATTCAGCACGGGTGTGCTGGTTATTTGGCGTATGTGGTAGATACGCGAGTTAAGGATCAGCCCACGGTTTCGGAGGTCCCAGTAGTCAGAGAGTTCGCTGACGTGTTTCCGGAAGAGTTACCTGGACTGTCTCCAGAGAGGCAGGTGGAGTTTAGGATTGATCTAGTGTCGGGTGCGGCCCCTATTTGTTAAGGCGCCGTACCGACTGGCACCGCCGGAGATGTAGGAGTTGTCATCTCAGTTGCAGGAGCTGCTGGGTAAGCAGTTCATTCGTCCGAGTAGTTCCCCATGGGGAGCACCGATCCTTTTCGTCAGGAAGAAGGACGATTCGCACAGGATGTGCATTGACTATAGGGAGTTGAATAAGTTAACGGTAAAGAACCGTTATCCACTCCCGAGGATAGATGATCTTTTCGATCAACTGCAGGGTGCATCTTGGTTCTCCAAGATCGATTTGAGGTCCGGATATCACCAGGTCAGGGTGAGGGAGGAAGACGTGGAGAAGACCGCGTTTTGGACTCGTTATGGTCATTACGAGTTCGTGGTGATGCCGTTTGGGCTCACCAACGCGCCGACAGTGTTTATGGATTTAATGAACCGAGTCTGCAGACCGATGCTCGATCGCTCGGTCATTGTGTTCATAGACGATATATTGGTGTATTCCAAGACACGAGAGCAGCACGAGGAGCACCTCAGGGAGCTGCTAGAGGTTCTGCGACGAGAGCGGCTGTATGCCAAGTTCTCGAAGTGTGAGTTTTGGTTACGAGAGGTCCAGTTCCTCGGACATTTCGTTAACCAGGAGGGGATTTTGGTCGACCCGGCCAAAGTCGAGGCAGTTATGCAGTGGGAGATCCCAAAATCTCCTTCCGACATCAGGAGTTTCTTGGGATTAGCAGGGTACTACCGGAGATTCATTCGAGATTTTTCCAAGGTTGTTGTACCCCTCACTCGTCTAACGAGGAAGGGGGTGGATTTCCGGTGGGGCCCTGAGCAGCAGAGGGCGTTTGAGACCCTCCGACGATGTTTGTGTGAGGCGCCAGTGTTGACGCTCCCCGAGGGAGTCGAGGATTTTGTGGTATTTTGTGATGCATCCATCACGGGTCTGGGGGCGGTCCTCATGCAGAGGGGACGGGTTATAGCCTATGCATCGCGGCAGCTGAAGCCGCATGAGACAAGATACCCGACGCACGATCTTGAGTTGGGAGCGGTGGTTTTCGCTCTCAAGATTTGGAGACATTATCTGTACGGGGTCCGTTGTTCTATATACACGGATCACAAGAGTTTGAGGCACATCATGGATCAGCCGAACCTGAACATGAGGCAGCGCAGGTGGCTGGATGTGGTCAAGGACTATGATTGTGAGATCCTTTACCATCCTGGTAAAGCGAATGTGGTCGCGGACGCTTTGAGCCGCAAGGCAGCTGGGTATTCTACCCCGACAAGATGTATGAGGATAGCGGTGGATTCGAGGGCATGAGACCAGAGAACTAGAAGATGTAGCGGATTAAGGGCGAGAACACCCTGTTTGTTCAGGATAGCCGTGGATTGTTGACCCGACACGGTCAGGTTTGGGTTCCGATGACCGGAGGGATCCGGCAGACAGTGATGGAGGAGGCTCATAAGTCTCACTTTTCTATACACCCGGGGGCCACCAAGATGTACCGGGATTTGAGTTTGAGTTACTGGTGGCCGTGCATGAAGCGAGAAATCGCTGGGTATGTTGAGAGGTGCTTGACCTATAGGATGGTCAAGGCCGAGCATTAGAGGCCGCATGGCAAGCTACAGCCTCTGGAGATTCCCATGTGGAAATGGGAGCAGATCGCGATGGATTTCATTACCAAGCTGCCGAGGACGGCGAAGGGGTTTGATGTTATTTGGGTCATCGTGGATCGATTGACCAAGAGTGCCCATTTCTTGGCCATACGGGAGAGTTCGTCGGCAGAGAAATTGGCCGACATGTATGTCAGCGAGATTGTCTCTCGCCATGGGGTTCCAGTTTCTATCGTTTCTGATAGCGATGTCAGGTTTACTTCCCGTTTTTGGCAGAAGTTCCATGGAACTGGGTACGCGACTGCATTTTAGTACAACTTTCCATCCGCAGACAGATGGGCAGAGTGAGCGGACCATCCAGACCCTCGAGGATATGTTGAGGGCGTGAGTTATTGATTTTGGTGGGAGTTGGGATTCCCACCTACCGCTTGCAGAGTTCGCCTACAACAACAGCTATCATTCCAGTATTGGCGCCGCGCCTTTTGAGCTATTATATGGTCGAAGATGTAGAACCCCGATCTGTTGGGGTGAAGTTGGACACAGAGTGATGGGTAGGACGGAGGTAGTCTTGCAGACTGCCGAAAAGATCCAGCAGGTTGGACAGCGTTTGCAGACCACTCAGAGTCGGCA